GGTTATAGTCCAGTTCTATCGATGGTCAAGGTAAGCTTTGGGAGGGAAAAGGTATCCGACACTTGGTTATGTTTCTGTTTCGTCTCTATAGCTTGATGTGGCAGGCGGTGTTAACATATGCGACGTAGGTCTTCAGCCAGGGTGACTCGAAATGTTTGGTTGACGTCTACCCGGTGACCTCTGTGAACCAAATGAGCCGCAGTTGCACTAGAGATGGACTTTACCCTGCTCTGGTTTAGCCAGACAGGGTGGTGCTCTCGCATCCGCTTGAATAGGCGCCTAGTTGTTTGAACGATATAACCTGTTCAATGGGAGCAAATAAATGCATAAATACACATTGAATAAATATAAAAGGGCAGTATATCCTCGTCTTCAAAGCGAATAAGTAGAGTACTTGAGAACACTATTCTCACCTTAGCAGCTAGATAGGTGCCCGCAATAGCAGTATTTAGGTGGTGATATAGAAGTTCGCTTGTCTGATTTTCCTTGAAAAGGCAGTTTGAAAACTAACGCCTCCTGATTTTGTGCGGCATTCCTGCATATATTTACTGATAAAAGTTTTGGGAAAGCCATTTTCTCGTAGTCTTTTGTATAAGGATTAGTTCGTTTTCCAGTGTATCTGGAGTACATTTTCTCCTATTTCAGTTTGTGAAGCGGTGGACTAGGCTTCGTTCCTGACTTAGCGGGAAAACGCTGTAGAGGTTTATGTATTGCTTTTTCCGTCTTTTTTTCTTACGAAATACACTTATGTGAATTCTTGTGTTAAATGGGATGTCAGGAAGTAACAGGCAGTCTTCGTTCTCATTTTTCAAAGGGAAGGTTAACGCTGAGTGGACCTGCTTTGCTCTATCCTGGGGGGAAGTCCGACTCAAGCTTTGTACTGGCTATTGCAATAATATCGTCGACATGCCTTACATAGGGAAAAAAGGTTCGTTATAGCTGGAGAGAGCTGGTCATTGTGAAGTTTTCTTCTGAAGACATCAGCTAATAGGGGTTGGGGGTGACCCCATCGCTCCGCCATTGATTTGGCGGTAAGATTGGCCATCGAAATTGAATTGAATGCTTAACTTGTAATGAAGGAATTATTCCTTGAGGTCTCTGACCGCCAT